GAGACAAGAGTCTCACTCTGTTGCCCTGGCTAGAGTGAGTGCTGTGGCGTCAGCCTAGCTCACAGCAACCTCAAACTCCTGGGCTCAAGCTATCCTACTGCCTCAGCCTCCCAAGTAGCTGGGACTACAGGCATGCGCCACCATACCCGGCTAATTTTTTCTATATATATTTAGTTGTCCAGATAATTTCTTTCTATTTTTTGTAGTAGAGACGGGGTCTCGCTCTTGCTCAGGCTGGTTTCGAACTCTTGAGCTCAAACAATCCGCCCGCCTCGGCCTCCCAGAGTGCTAGGATTACAGGCGTGAGCCACCGCGCCCGGCCTACTGTGGTGTATTCTTATCTGCCAATGTTCTGCACATGTGCACGTGTCATCCATATGCTCATGTGATCATCCCCGTCCTTTGTGTGCTGGGCGTTTATGCTCCCTCCGTGATACTCAGCATGCAGGAAGATCCATATGGTTCATCATAGAGCTTCCTGAGTCTCTTTTGGGGAGATGCACATTAAAACTCTCCAGTTACAAGGTTACATCTCATTTTGGGGAGACTTAAATCTATACTTTCTGTAGCACTCAGTTTACCCATCCATTAACATGACTGTAGTGGAGTGTAGAAACCACTAGGTGGCATTATGTTTTTCTCAAGTCTGTGATTTGTGAATGTTTCCCTTCTGGGTCTGTGCCTGCTGGCATTAAGCATCACATAAAGTAGACAGATCAAAGCTCATTGAATCTAAATAATGTTAAAACTGTTTATGTAGTCTTAGAGTTTATGTAGCATTATAGAGTGCCATTACATATGGGTTACAGATTCTTGACTGCTGCTGTCTTTATCTATGAACCTTGCCTGAGGAACAAAGAGTTATTTAGCTGATTTCACTTACCACCTATGAAAGCTTTCCTCCTATATCAAAGGGTTAGATTGCACGTGGAAGATGTTTTCTTAATATTAAGCCTGATATGGGAATAAGAATTTATTTATTAGTAATTAGTCCTTTGGAGCATCTTCTTTCTGTGGCTTAAATTTTTATGACTTTTGTTATCTAGAAAAGAAGCTGTAACTTCTTGTCAAGAACAGTTGGATGCTTTCCAAGTCCTTGTGAAATCATTGAAATCATGGATAAAAGAAACAACAGAAAGAGTTCCCATTGTGCAGCCTTCTTTTGGTGCAGAGGATTTAGGAAAATCTTTGGAAGAAACTAAGGTGAATGATTGTGTCTAATACTAATTTTTCATTTGCCCGTGTCAGTAATGAAAGGTTAAAAGACTAATGGTGGTTTTCTTTGATCTAATATCGAATGTAAGTTAGATCCTCATATATATACTGTATATTTTGTTGATCTTTGGAAATCATAACATGGGGTTAACTGATCATTTGAGGAAGGACATATACTTTCAGTTAATTTGCTTTTTTAAAAAAGATGTATTAATGAGTTGCTGACTGTTCTAGTATCCAAGTTTCTTTCCCTACTAAATCTCTACTTAGTTTCAGTTATTTTTGATACCATTTCTCATAATATTTAGTAAAAGATCTTTCTCTTCACTCAGCATTTTATGCTAGCTTGTAAATATCACTATAATCCATATTTGAAGATAGAAATTATTTGAATCTCCCATGTACATAGTGCACAAGTATTTTGTTATATGACTCCAGTTATGACACCTATGACCAGTTATGGCAATTTTCCACTCCAAATTTGAGGAGGTGTCTGTTTTTAAAAATTCATTGAAATCTTGATAACTAAAACATACTATAAAGTGGAATTCTGAATTCCCATTTATTTTTAATGTTCCTGATACATTTTGTCCTGTGACTTGTCTGTGACCTACAGTTTTACAGACTTACAGTTGACAGTTACTTTGGAACCCATGGCAGCTAGGAATAACCTTACTTCCACTGTGGCAAGGAGCAGAATGCAGAATGGGCCGTACCCCACTTCTCACTGCCAACAGTGCTAACAGTCACCTTGCTGTGGGAACAAATAGGGATGGTGCCTTTTTCTTTCCTCAACTCCCCTATGAATCAGGGCCCACAATTATTACGGCTTTAAGATATGTTTAAGAAATTGAATTATAATGTGCAACTTTGAAACTGTTAAGAAGACTGAAAAATAATGTGTTTTTATATCTCAAGAAATTACAAGAAAAGTGGAGTTTAAAAACACCAGAGATTCAGAAAGTGAACAACAGTGGGATCTCACTATGTAACCTAATAAGTGCTGTGACTACCCCTACCAAGGCAATAGCAGCGGTTAAATCAGGTATGTGCTTTATTTACGTTTTGGCAAAAACTATAAGAATCATGTTAATTTTATTTGTGTATGTGTATGTTATTTTTAAAATGAATGCATGAAATCACCTCAGAAAAAACAAAGTGAAAGTGACAAGAAAGATGGCATCTATAAACACACTAAAACCTGCCACGGAAGAGTATCTGTAGTAATCCAATTTCACATCCCTCTTATGTTTCCTTTTATTAAAGACCACAATTAAAATGTAACCAAATTAATCTGTAAGAGTAAGGAATGTTATATTGAGGTAGGGGCCAGATCAGATTCCAATTTGTTTGCTTTTTACCTTAATTAAATGGGTATATTGAAATTCTATTTGAAATATTTCTATT